TACAGAAGTGATAGCATGCACCCTTCAACAAGATTGTACTACCAGGACTATGAAATATTGTTCTATTTGGATGAAAATAGTTTAGGCAAATGTTTAAAATTAAATTAGTGACGCTTTTTGTATAGATGCAATCTTACAATAGAACTCATGTCTGGCTGCAGCACAATGCCAGGCAGGAAGCAAAGGCAGGCAATATTTATATAATCAATCTCCCTAAGACATAACAACATATCCCATTTGGTGCATTCACTGGAATTTAAATACATTGAAATGATAATAAAATATAACCGAGAAGCAGTCGAATGATAGCTTCCTATGCAAAGGCATACTTGGAGGAATATCAACAGTATCAACGGGAGACGGTAAAAAGGGACAACACAGAGAAGATGAATTGGAGAAGGCCTACAGGAAACTGGGTGAAAATAAACTTGGATGGGGCGCTAAATAGCATCAGGCAGTAGGAGGAATGGGGATTGTTATTCGGGGCGTAACAGGGGCTGTTCGTGGAGCATTATTTTTGAGGGTTAATGGCTTTGTGGATCCAATAATATTAGAGGCGTTAGCAGCAAGCAGGACTTTAGAATTTGCATCCAAAGAATTGTAGATACTTAATTTTATTCAAATCATATCAAATTTATTCAATTTTTTTTGTTTAATTTGCATATTTTATTTTGAGCTATTTGAGAAATTTAGTTGAATTTATCTTACGTGACTATTTAGGTTTTTTTTTTTTTTATTAAATACAATTTAAAATTAAATCATTTGAGTTTAAAAATCTTAATCTTTAAGTAAAAACCCAAAACCCATTATGAGTCCAAATTTAATTTTTGAGACCTCATTGCATTTTATTATGATTTATTAATTAATTAAAGTAAAAAAAAAAAAAGAAATGAAAAAGCTTGAAGCTGCGACTGCCCTGGCAGCCAGCTTTCCATGCTTCCCAATAACCCTTCCTTTTAGATTGATGCTTATTTCCAGCTTTCATTTTTTCCCTCTTTATTTACCCATTGATCTTTTACATGAATCGACAAAAAAATGACCCAATTTCCTAGAGCAAGCATGCTCCATCTCTCAAAGTGCACCAATAGCTACTACAACAACATTTCAAAAACACCAGTCCTTACAAATCTCAAAAGATCTCCTATTTGGAGGTAGTCTTAATTAGGGGAACTTTTAAAAAGAAAATTTTCAAGGGGAGCCTCTAGAACCAAAAAAATCTTACCCTTCATTGCAATTACCAGTTAATCTTCAATCACAGACGCTACTAACAATCACGACAATCGGTTTTTGTTGAAACTTAAAAAAAAAAACCTAGTTTTTTCCTATTATCAAAGAATGCCCGCCCCTGTGTCACGGTCCTATTATCAATGAAAGCCCCATTTGGTACACCTTCTATCCCTTTTGATCTTGTTATTTTATTATGTATATTTATTTTACTTATGTTTTAGATATTTTTGACAATAGATTTATGGATTAATGAAGCTGAAAAAAAAAAAATGAAAAGAATGGATAATGATAATAGATTTTTAACAAATAATAATAGTAATTTTACAATAATAAAAATAATTTTCATTGAAGTGATTATTTTTTAAAATAAAATATAATAATTAAAAAATGATTTTATAGACCTTGCCTAAATGTTTTAAGGAATTCAAAATTGTGTTTAAAAAATTTAATTTCCCTTAGATGTTGAAAAATTAAGAGATTAAAAAAATTAATTAATTAAAAATCTTAAAATAATAAAATAATAAATTTTTTTTGCACAAACCAAAAATTATAAATAAAATTTCTTTCTTTTTTAATTTTTGTTTTAAAAATGAAATGATAAAAAAATTAAATAGGAATAAAATATATAAAAAATTGATTAAATTGGTTGTTTTAATTTTTAGCTTTCGAATGCATAATTTATTTACTTCGTGTTGTATCGATATAAAATTATCAAAGAAAATGAAGAATTACGAAAACCAAATTTATTTTAAAAATTTGTCTAGATGTTGAGAATAATTGAGGAAGTTTCTCATTTTTTCTACAAAAAAACTTAAAACTTTAAAATCTCGAAACTCTAAAATCTTGAAACTCTAAAATCTTAATTTAAAACCCCAAAACCAAAATCTCATAACCTAAAATCTTAAAATCCTAAAATGGGACCCTAAATCTTAAAAATCTATCAAAAGCTTAAATTTAATCCAAACCATAAATTCGATTTGCAACTCCAAATCATCATCCAAAAATCATTTCAACCCTAAAAATCTTAATCTAAGCCTACACTTAAAATCATCCAAAATTCTAATGATACATATAAAAATTTATATGAAGTAATTTGTTTCTGAATGTTATCTAAAAAATGAGACATTTAAAAAATTTTATTTTATTAAGTTATTCATATGAGTTTTTAACTCGCAATAATAATGAAATTAAACGAAAGAGTAAAAAGTATATATTACTAAAAATTGAAACTTAAATATAAATAGTCACATCTAAACTCTACCTAAATATTGAAGAGTTCAAGTGATCCCTTTATATTTAAGGATTTAATCCCAAAATTGCATTTCACTTTCAAGTATAGCATCCATTTACATCAATTTATCTTTAAATCGTTGATTGCATTCATTTTTACATATTTATGTCTTTTGATTATCATTATTGATCATTTGTTAATTGCAATACCATTACTATTACACAAAATTTATTAGAAAAAATTTTACTCGAAAATAAAGATTTTGAAATAAAACTAAAATAACATTCGAAAAAAAATAATTTTTAATATTCTACCTAGATGTTAGAGAAACATCAATAATTATCATCTATAAAAAATATTATTTTCATTTTTAGAGAATGTCAAAGGTAATCTTAGGTAAAAGAGTTATCTTTAAAATTTTACTTAGATATTGAAGAAATTTAAAGTAATTTTTTAACTTAAATATTTTTACAATATTCTTAAACAAAAACTTTTAATAAAATGATTTTTTTTTTTAGGAAAGTGAAGGGAATTATTATTAAATTTTGAATCGAAATTATTTTATCAACACAAAAAATAATACATAATTAATTAGTACTAATTTTCATAGGTACTATAGAGGTGCTAATCCTTCTTCACGTATAATCGATTTTTGAATCTAATTCTATTTTTATAAGCTAAAGTTATTTTTTTGATAAACTTTAAATTCGTTTAATCACTTTATCAAAAGGATAAATTTTTAAATGATTAATTATATTTTAAAATAAATTAGTGATGACTCCTTTTATTTTTTTCTCAATTTTAAAATCTTTTCGTCTAATGATTTGAAGACCTTTACGACTAGGATTTGGTCGTCTTGTTTTGGAAGGGGATGCCTTAGGGGTAGGGAAGCAGACTTTTCACCAATAGGCAATCTGATTGAAAAGATAAAACTGAGATTGAAATGTTTCAAAGAGTTTATCTGCACTCATATAAGCAGAGATGCCAATGTGGCTGCACGTATTATGGCTAGAAATGCTTTGACTAATATAGCTAATAGATGCCGGATAGATGAGTGTCCTGAGTTTATTGAAACCATTGTTGCTGATGACTGCAACTGCTGATGTTCTATGATATTTGATTTGAGTACTTTTTTATCATATATATATATATATATATATATTACTGATAAATTATGTTTGACTTGCCAGTACTCCATATACTTCAAAAACTAGTGATCATCTAGCTTATCAAGTCAAATACTCAAATGTCCCATGCCTGTGATATATTCCTTAGATTTTGTTTCAACACCATCGGACGACCTGTGTTGGAATTCTTAAGAATGAACTTGAAAGTTTGACATGTGATTCCCAACAGGCTGTTCAATGTCTCAAGTAACAGATCATATTGACAAACTACAGTCAGAACTGTAAGTCTAACTGTTCTAATGATTCAGTCAAGCAATTCTTATGAAACAAACTCAATCTCAATCTTGCATAACATGATTGAAACGCAGACCTGAGTGTACAAATCTTTAAATGAGGTGATTTTTGCGCTATGGTTAAGACTAGAACATCAGGGCAATTGTGAAATCCCTTTTCTCCCTGCTCGTTACATTCTTTATGCCGCCATTTAGAGCAAGCAGTCCAAACACAGTGAATTTTCGACCTATGCGTAGAATTCATGATAATGAAGAGGATGACATAATGGTAAGGAAAAATACCAAATCAAAGGCTGCTGGGTAAGGCTCTGAGAATAAATTCAGATGTAATAATCTAATAAGACCCCGTCACTTTAATATTTAGTCTTTTTTATATGTTTAATGCATAAAATTATGAATAAGAAAAAAATTATTATAAGTAAAATTAAATTAAATAATATTATCTTATTTTGTGTTTGATTTGTATAAAAATTAACATAAAATAATTTTATTTATTAATCAAAATTATCTTTTTTTTAATTTATATAATTTAAATTATTATTGATATAATTTTTACACGTATAATAACTTATATAAGTTTAATATCATGAATTGAAAATAATTCTTTTCATTTTGAAAAGATTGAATTATCTTATATAAAAAAAAATTAATCCTTTCTACAATCTTATTTTTTTCTTTGTATACAAATCAAACATAATATAAAATAATTATCTTATTTCATCTATCATCTTAAACACCAAACATGATCTTTCATGTACAATGTCCTGGCAAATCCTATTCCTTGGTAATCCGTTTTCTATAACAATAATAATAATAATAATATATGTATGTGTATATATATATATATATATATGTATATAAAGTTAGTTCATACGCTTACGAAATAAATACTCTGGAAAGTCAGCAAAGTATCGGCTTATGTTCTGTAAATCAATGGTTGAGAAACTCTAATAACTGCCACCGAAGAAACCTAACATGACAATCTGAATCTTATCAAACAGACAGAAGAAAAAAGTACCTAACAAGTTCTTTTCACTACTTCTAACTTCTTTAAATGGTTTAGTTACATGATCAGCAAAACTGAATTCTTAGATTTCTGGATAGTCCATCAATAAAATGTCGATGCCTTGGACATATACACCAGTAACTACTGATACAAGCATTTCAGAACAAATAGAGAAAAATAATGTACATAAAAAACTGCTTCTCAACATCATTTTCGCTTTCATCTAAAAATAACTTCATACAACTATCTCAAAATCGCCAAAAGTAAGGGAGCCTAAGCCTTATGTCACTTAAGATAGCAAAGTCTTGGTTAACAGAGGCCCACAGTACACTTATCTTTTAAAAGTTACTCATCGAGTTACATCATTCAAGAGCATTCCATGAACGATACTTGCTATCAATCCTCTAAGCTAATAAATACCAATTGTAGTGTACCATCTACATACTTCACAACACAATGTATTCATCAAAACATTATCTGAACCTTCATCCACCGTCGGCAACTATACCTTACTTTTATGTCTTAGTGAACTAACTTACATCACAAACAAAGTCCCCAAAGTTTTTATCGAAAGCTCCATAGAGTCAGAATTGAAGATCAACCGAAATCCATTTGGTGCATTAGCATGAAATATGAATAGTCTGCAATCCAAACGCTGGGTTTTATTGTAACTTGCAAGGACAAGAAACTAGTAGAGTTTGATGGATGAATGAAACTACATGCATCTGATATAAGCATAAAAAATTACTATATTTGTGTGGTTTCAATGAAATAAAATGCCAACAATACCATTCTAGAATGAATTCTTGTATCCTACAAAGGATTGGGTCTTAGCCCCATGAGCACACTTTATTTCTTGCTTTTGAACTATGAAAAAGATGTCTCACAATAGAGAATAGCTTATAAGCTCATCAAGAGATTCTTAAATTCCAAATAAAAAAAATACTACTTACACAACTAATTGCTTGCAGTCTCGTTTGCTGGTCATGCAAAAGTGGTTTATAATTTGTATTCTTCCATGGCCAAAAAACTTCTGTCCTAATTGCTAAACAACTTTCTATACCCAAATAGAGAAGAAGACAATAAAAAAAAAAAAAGAAGGAAGGAAGTTCTGAAGTTGATTAGCTCATCAAGGTTATTTTTATAACACTATGATGATATTGAGAAACTGTACTCGTACAAGAATTAGCTGTTGTCTGTTCAAATTCACAGGGTTGAATATTATTCAACTATTAACACCTACGGTGCAATATCAGTTTCCATTATGATTAATCAAAAAATAATATGTTCACTACTATGAATGCAACATTAATACAGAAATCAACCATTATAATGGATGCCTTATATGGTCCACTTCCAAGTTTTGATCCAATGACACACATAAGGCGAAAAGATTCAATAACATTATACCATCTCATGGTACAGAACAGTTACTGTATTAGATGTAACCATTGTTTCTTGGTCTTTTGTCCCCTTGAATGACAGGATTAATCAACAGAGAAAAATTATGTTAGCAGACCATTAAAAAGAAATGGAATTAAAGATAAAAAGCAGAACCTTGAGATTAAGACCATACACTGAATCTTGTCAAGAAGCGAGCGTATAAGTAATCTTAACCAACCCAACACCAACCTCTCAAATGTTATAAAGCAGGATAAGGTTTATAAGGCCCACCAGGCATAGATGATTTGGTCCTCATCCTCTCCAAAAGGAAACAGATAAATTGAGCGTTCATGTCTATCTGTTGGGATTGTTTCATCAAGGCCCCTTAACATACTCATAACACAATGCAGCTAACAAGCAAGTAGATATCCGCGAATCTCTAGAAAGTCTTGCAACTGTATTTTTGCTCTTAATGTACCTTTCAGTGATGTATTTTCCAAAACAACAAAAAAAAACAATGTCCACAATATTGTTTATGTTTCAAGATAAAAAAAAAAAAGTACAAAATGCCTAGACATGTTGTCCACATACGCCAAAATCACTCACCATCACAGGACCCTCGTATTCATACCTGCAGATACCCAAAAAAAAACTCATATCTATATATATATATATATATATATATATATATATAAACTAAAAGGGGCACTGAAAAAACAGTAAAAACAATGGAGTAATCAGCATAACAAACAAAAGAAAGATACTTCAAGGAAGACAAGTTTTTTCCCATTCATACTGCAATTCTGCAAATGTAAAGACTATGAATTAATGATTTAAAAAAAAAAAGAATTGATAAGAATAAGAGAATAACATTAACACATCATATAAATAATAATTTTTTTTACCGGCGCGACCAAATCACTCAGAAACAAGTGGGAACAGAAAATGCCAATCGGAAATATATAGAACGTTCCAATATTTTCTTCTTTTGCTGAAAACCAACCCCTCTGCAACAACACCACAAGAGAAATACCAATAGAAATCTTAGATTATGTTTTCTGAATCATTTATTAGGGCAATCCCTTGCAAAATGACCTTCTTCTCCACAATTAAAACATTTTCCTTCTGGTCTGGCTCGTTCTCCACCTCCTCGGCCACCGCCGTATCTTCTACTTCCGCCATCATAACCTCGGCCTCCACTGTATCTCCTACTTCCACCATCTTGATAACAATCCCTCGCCAAATGCCCCATCCTCCCACAATTATAACACGCGCCACCACCTCTTCCTCCGCCGTCACCACCACCACCACGATAACCCCCTGTTCTATAACCACCACCAGCACCAGGAGGACCACCGCCTCTACCTGTTCCACCAAAATATCCGCCTCTTCCACCATCACGACCACCACGGAAAGGGCGGCGAGAACGGGGCACAGGAGTTACATCAACAGCCTTACCGCGGCCGTCTTCGCCGAAATCAACGGAGAATTCTACGGGTTGATTATCGGAGAGGGTGCGAAAGCCTTGGGAAAGAATAGAGGTTTGGTGGACGAAAAGGTCCTCGCCGCCGTCGTCGGGAGTTATGAAACCGAAACCCTTTTGGGCACTGAACCATTTGACTCTGCCAGTGGATCTCTCGATGCTGGTGGTCTCAGCCATTGCCTTCCAGAAGATTCTGGAAAAGGCCCAAAATAAAGTTCTTCTAGGGGGCTTTTTTTTTTGTTCATTGTGGGACCCAATTGGTGGAGATCGGAGGGTAGAGAAGTGGGGTTGGGTTGGATCATCTGACGGTTTTGGAAATTTTGGTGGTTTATCCGTCTGAGGGTGTTTGACGAGGCTGAATGGATTAGCTTTATTTTATTTTATTTTATTTTTTGTTGTGTATATCAGTTTGGCGGTGTTGGCCTTGCGTCGGTTGTAGGGTAATGGGGTTGACTTTCTTTTTCTGGAGAGAGAAAGTTATTAATTAATTTAACATTTATTAAATAATTTATATTAACAAATTTTTGTTATTAAAATATCTTTTAACTTGTTAACATTAAATACAATTAATGCAGCAATGAATGTACTCATGTTTTAGTAGTAAACCAAAGCAATTTAATTTGAGTTTGAATTTGATCCTAAATATTTATAAATTGTTTATTATACTAAAAAATTAACGCAAATCATAACAATTAACTTGAAAAAAAAATTATTGAACATAATAAAAATATAGAAAGTAGTTTCATAATTCAAGAATTATAAGTTCCAATATTTCCTCTTCTAAAACTATTTCTTTGATACCCATTTTTTTAAAGATATTTCTAACTTATAAAAATTCAATTACTTAAATTTCAAACATTTAAGTTTTAAAAATATTTGTATATATGTAATTAATATCAATAAATGTTACATGTTCATATTAATACACATTTTTAAACATTTTACAAAAACTAATTAATTTAAAAAGTAATAATAAAAGAAAGTATAAATCATTTTTAAAATAATTCATTAGAATTATTTATGTATATGCAATAGAATATACATATATTCTGCTAAATAATAAGGCAATAAAATATTTTATTAAGATTAATTCTAATAATTTTCAAGTAATCAAAAAAATTTCTTTTACAATGATTTCATAGAATCTAATAAAATATTATTTTTATTTATAGATCTATGAAATTGTGACATTTGACATAACCGAGTTTTTTTTATAGTGTTTTTGCTTTGTAATCTTGTTGCCTATCTCTCCCATACTTTTAATATTGTGTCACTTAGACTATTATGTAAGCATGAGTCATTTCTTGTATAAGTTTCATTAAATATTTATGGATTTATAGTATTTATAAATTTAATTAATTGTGAATACATATATTTCCTATATCGTATTATTTAAAATTTGAGTTTATTATATTTGAATATTCATTAACTTAGTCATTCATGAAATTATAATACCAATGAATTTAATTAATTATAAATAAATATATTTTGATTATTTATGAATTTAAGAATTCATGAATTTATGATATTCATAAACTCAATTAATTATAAATAAATTATATTATTCGTTCCATTTAAATTTTGAATCTAAATTTATATTTACAAGTTATTAATTTATTAATTATGAATTAAATTCAAATTGATTGAATTTAATTATTTTTGAATTTAATCATTTAATCATTTATGATATTTATGAATTAAATTAATTGTGAATGAATGTACTAAATATTTAATATAATTTAAGTTTAATATATTTATTACATAATATAAATACAACATGATCATTGCATTAATTTTTTAATACAACTAGAGCACGAAAAGAATTCACGATCTGACTAGTTGTAATGAAATATAATATAATGGCACATATTAATTTTTTGAACACAAATTCTACAAACAAAATTTATAGCAAATCTTTTTAAATGCAATCTAATCTTATGTAGCTACATTTTTATTCTTCTTTGGTATACATTTGACAAATATGAAAGATTGAATAGTATAAACAATCTATCTTACAAAGGGCAACTTAGATATCAAATTAATAAAATTAAATTTCTTTTGAAAAAAACTTTTATTTATTTATTATTAAAAACCAGTACTATTTATTTAATTTTTGTGAACTACATAATTACATGACTTCTTATAACTATACTATTTATTTGAACATAATATTTATAATATAAATTTATAAATTACAAATAATATTGTTTACGTTTCTTTAATTTTAATCAAAATTGTTTAGACACTATGATTAAAAAAATAATATAAAAAATTCATTGCAACATAGGAGACGTGACATTAATTTTTTTAGTATTTATGCATGAAATTAGTTTATTATGCAGGGACTTGTTAATATTATTCTGATTTCACTTGTTTTTTTTTTTATTATTTATGCCTGAAAGTAGCTTACTATGCAGGGATTTGTTAATGTTATTCTGATTTTACTTGCTTTCTTTTTCTTGAAAGGGACAATGCATATACTTAATATGCATCACCAACACATCAGTTTCATTGTAGTAACTTGTGCTATGTTTAACAGATAAAAGTAAAGCGTGGGCAAGTCAAACTCCAACGCATCAAAGCCAAGTGGCTAACTCCCCGACGCCACCTCTAACTCTGTATCCATATCTTCCCATATAAAGTCTTGTTTCTCCATTGTTTTAAAACTAAATCACTTCGGCTTTTATTTTCTGTATCATTCTTCCAAAGCCGTGGTCTCCATTAACATCCTTCTTCATTTCAGTTTAAACTCTTAACCCCCAAAACCTTCCTACCATCGAAATATCCAAATCTCATTATCCCATCAGAGATCACCTTGTTTTCTGCTGAAGCTTTGACTCCATTTTCAGAAATTATTTTTTTTAAGGTTATTGTTCCTGACGCGTTTCTTTGGCTTTGAATCCCCTCTTGCTCGTTTCCCGCGGCGTTCAAACTTCAACTGCGAGTATTCGGTACGCCACTTCTCTCCTCTATAACTATTATTTAATTATTAAGCGTTATATTAGTATTAAATTATTTACAGTATGCTTATTATTTTAGTGCAAAGCTCGAAAAGTTTGGCCTTTTAAAGATTTTTGTTCCAAAAGATTTAATAATATTTTAGGAATTTCATTTGGAATCCTATTGGATTAAACCTGGGTTTATTATAGATTTTTTTATGATATAACTTTTCATCTTTTTTGGTCTGTTATGATAGTGGAGTACACATCTTTAAAACTATTGAAAGGATGTTGATTTATGGCTTATTGAGAATTGAGATTGTTCCCAATTAAAGTTATAAAGTTTCCTGTTGAATAGAATATAATTACTCTTTCATCAAAAGTGGGATCCACTTCCATTTGAATGGAATGGCAGATTATCTGAAAAAAATGGTGGGTTCATGGCTTGTTTTGTCGTATTTGATTTTTTTTTTTATGGTGTTCTCTCCCTCACTCTACCATAACCACTGCAATTATTGGAAACTTCACTTTTTCTTTGGTTTTCTTTTTTATGGTTGCTTACCCCCTTCAATTGATAAGAATTATCACAATATAAATTGAAGGATGGGAAAAATAGTTGTTGCAACGGTTTTCTGCTATGGTTTTATGTCTGAAAACTATATAAGCATTAAGCAATTACTAGTATTGGAGCTTCATTAAATCCGTGTGTGCTATGCAATGGAAATGTGTTTCTTTTGTTACTTGTTGGAATAGTACAATTGAATACATAAATACCCTTGTAGTTCCACACGGGATTGGTCCTTGCAACTTCTTGTTCCAACAAATTCACTAAACTTGCATTTGCCACTTTCAGCATCAGGTTCTTATTCAGGTGACAGAATTATGCCTTTCCTAAACATTGTCATGTTCTCAGTTCTCTTTGGATGGCTCTGCTTCAGTGCTGAGGCATATTGCAGCTACATCATCTCATAGTTCCTTCTTTTTCTTTTTGGAAACTTTTTGATGGTTGAGATTGGTAATTGGGAATTTGAATTTGAGACGGCATTTTAGAGATAACATGTAGCTATCATTTGGTTATGGCCTTTAACATTTATCGTTTGTAATTGTTAATTTTAAAAAGAATACCATGCGTTACTGAAACATGTTTCAGTTGCTTATTCATAGGAAGCGGACTATTTTGGTGTGGAAAATCTTGAAATAAGATCTGCGTTAGGTGATGCTTATGATTTTAAGTGCAAGGAAGTCATATGAATGATTTTATCTTGAAAAATACATTTCTCCATATTCAAATAGTTGAAGCAGTTAATAAGCAGTCTGATTAGGTCCCATTGCACACCTTTCAAGTTACCATCTGATGATTTTATTTTTCTTCTCTCTCAAACACATATGTTTAAATGCTGAGAAATGCAGTTGTCTATATGGTTTTTCAGATTACTTTTTGTTGTGAGAATTTGTGTAAGAGGAATCACTTGTTGTTATATGTATGGACTTTAGTTTAACAAAGTACGTGACAATCTTTTACTGATGCTGCAAGCATAGTTAACCCAATCATCAGCATAATCAAGAATTGTCTACTATTGCTTCATGTTTTCTTGGTTTATGAATAATCAGCACAAGTTTTCTGTTGCTTCTTTTGAGGCTTTATCAATAGGAATGAAATCTAATATTTCTGACAGGAGGGTATGGATCATGGTACTAATGATAACTCTGAACCTACACGAACTGGATCATTTAGTAGAGCAAGTAGCCCTGGCTGTCTATTGAGGAGGCTTTCTCTTAGCATATCAAGTGTTGTGTCCTCCGATGATGACATTCATAGTGAGACTTTTTCGGAGGCTGGAGATGTTGGTGATCGGGCTCTCCACAGCAATAGGCAGAGTGTGAATAGTAGTGTCTGCTTGTCTGTAGATCATGCAATGGAAAGTGGGGCAGTTATTCATCCAGCGGAATTAAATACAATCTCTCTCGTGTCACCCTTGCCAGAGGATGTTACATCTTCCCTTCCAGTTGATCCACTGAAGTGCACCAGGGACAAAAAACAAGTGAGCTTTTAGTTAATTGTTTCTGCTTGTGCGATTGTTAATGATAGTATGTATATCAAACTTCAAATAATGCAAGTAAATTATGTGCTTCATGCTTCCTTATGCAGGAAAAACAAGGACTACCTCTGTCATTGGAGTATATATTGTGTCTTATCCATTTGGCTGTTTTTGGAATTCTTGGGGTAATATAATCGACCTTTCTACTCGAGTTAATTAGATTGGTGACAGGAAATTATTAAGTTGGACAGAATTGAGGCTTTAGTCTTTTGTTCAGCCTTCAAAGAGCCACTATGGTCATTCCTTGATTCCTATTTCGAGATACAAAACATAAGGAGGAATATGTTTTATTGGCAAACTTTGACTTTTGATAGTCTTGCAGGTTTTAACTAGATATTTGCTGGAAAGACTTTTTGGACCTAGTGTTTCAGGTGTGACCAGCGACCACACGATTGTATACCCAAACCTTCCTTCTAATATGGTATCCCTCTCTCTCTCTCTCTCTCTGTGTGTGACACACACGCACTGTTTTTAATGAGTGACGGTTCACGGGTATAGGGTGCACACACAAACTGGCACCGCCATGCGTGCAAAAATACATTTATTAGTGAGCGCTCATACGCATTTGTAAAGGCTTGGGCTCTATTGGAACGCCCCAAGATTTTGGCATGGTTTGTCTAATGCTAATTGAGCAGTTTGTGCCATTTAATGTTGGCAATGATATATTGATGATTTGTTGGACCAGGCGCTACTCTTATGAATGCTGCTATGAGGCGCATGGGCTGGACATGCTGCTCATAGCACTTACTATCAACCTGTAGATTCTGGATACTTAATTAACCAAGGAGGAGTTATCTAAAATGAATTAAAGATAAATTAAGGCAGTTACGGTGGTGGACAACTGTTTCCAGGCTTAGGTTAGAAAATATATTTTTGGGATAGATTGGATTCCTGGGGTTTGGTTTTTGCACCCCCACATAGATCTTCATTTTCTTTGGATTTCTCTCTGTTTCACGTCCTATGAATATCTTCCAAGTTCTTTTTCTCTTGCAAACTTAATTACGTATTCTTACAGGTTGGTTCTTTCTTGATGGGGTGGTGGGGTGTTGTTTTCAAAGCAGACATATCTCAGGTATATGATATTTTGGCAATTGGATTGACTACTGGGTATTTGGGAAGCCTCACGACTTTCAGTGGTTGGAATCAGAAAATGCTTGATCTCAGTGTAAGTGGCCACTGGGTACAAGCTGTACTTGGGTTTCTCACAGGTAATGCTTATGAGTGGCAAGTGTTTTTTGTTTGCCTATTCAAAACTAATAAAAGAAAAAGGTCTTGTCTTGGCTTAAACCATCCAAAAAAATTAAACTTTGTTGGCAGGCCTGTTTCTTGTAGCTTATTCCATCATTTTTGGGATTGAGACAGCCAAGGGTTTCAGGTGGATTCTCAAAAGGCTGAATACAAATACAAAAAGGGAAGTCCCTAGCACTTATTGTAATTGGAGGCTCAACAGTTGCAGACATCATTTGGCAGAAATGGTGGTATTATTGTTAGTTCTAGGTATTTTATTGAGTGTAAGCGGAGCACTGCTTAAGGAGGAATTTGGCAGTGGTAGCAGTGGAGCTCAGCTGTGGCTGGCTTGCTTAGTTGCACCTCTAGGAGTGTGGATCAGGTGGTTCTTAGCTCGAATTAATGGATGTGGGTTAGGAAAGTCTGGGATTCTGAGATGGCTTCCATTTGGGACTCTGATTGCCAATGTTTCTGCAGCTTGTATAACGGCAGGACTCTCTGTACTGGAAAAGTCGGTAAGGGTTCATTGAATGGTTTCTGTCCATACTTTTTGATTCCCAATTTGCAAACCTTACTCTTTGGCATCTGCAAGCATGCACATTGGCATAGTCTTCCATATAACGGCATATGGATGGCTCTTTCATTATCTGAATCATGAAATATTCTTATGCTGGCTCAAAGTATATCCTCATTTGCCAAATAGTTATGCAGCTATGCTTTCAGCCTGACTAATTGACCATTCTTTCTTTCTTCCTCTTTCTTTTTCAGGAAAATCTGAGCATGAAATATAGTAATTGTTTTCTCGAGAGTAATTATTCTATGAGCATGAAATATAGTAATTGTTACTCCATAAATTTTGATAAGGTCAGATTGGTGTGGTGCAGGTAAATACTAAGAACTTCAACACTGTTGCAACCGGGATAGAGTTAGGATTTCCGGGTGTCTGAGTACAGTTTCTTACTTTCATTTCTGAGTTCAATGCAATGAGAGAAAGCAAGCGCCCTTGGATAGCTTATGTTTATGCCTTAATTACCACAGGATTCATTTGATTGGGGATTCTGATATATGACATACCTGTTTGGAACAAAAGGATTTGCCTAGAATTTCGAGGGCTGCTATCATTGCCTCTTATCACTTTGGATTGATTGCACTTGCATCCTTGAAGTCAAAGTCGATGCGAAGAATACTTCAGTTTGTTCATACAAATGAACACCTGCCACAAGAGCCCGGCCGTACACTAGTATTCTGATGTATACCTTGCCTAATACTAATACTAATTGCCGCCTGATACAGCCATTCCGGTACGGCTAGACAATGTTTGCTGATGCCTGATATCAAGCATCAACACAGGTGACAAGGCACAACATTTGCTTCAATGTTTTGACAGCTTGTCCAACAGGTTTTTTTGGGGGTTTCGGATAGCTTTTTGCTACTCTGTTTTGTTCATTAATTGTGACATTTGACATAACTGAGTTTTTTTTTATAGTGTTTTTGCTTTGTAATCTTGTTGGCTATCTCTCCCATATTTTTAATATTGTGTCACTTAGACTATTATGTAAGCATGAGTCATTTCTTGTATAAGTTTCATTAAATATTTATGGATTTATAGTATTTATAAATTTAATTAATTGTGAATACATATATTTCCTATATCGTATTATTTAAAATTTGAGTTTATTATATTTGAATATTCATTAACTTAGTCATTCATGAAATTATAATACCAATGAATTTAATTAATTATAAATAAATATATTTTGATTATTTATGAATTTAAGAATTCATGAATTTATGATATTCATAAACTCAATTAATTATAAATAAATTATATTATTCGTTCCATTTAAATTTTGAATCTAAATTTATATTTACAAGTTATTATTAATTATGAATTAAATTCAAATTGATTGAATTTAATTATTTTTGAATTTAATCATTTAATCATTTATGATATTTATGAATTAAATTAATTGTGAATGAATGTATTAAATATTTAATATAATTTAAGTTTAATATATTTATTAAATAATATAAATACACATGATCATTGCATTAATTTTTTTTTATTACAAATAGAGCACGAAAAGAATTCACGATCTGACTAGCTTGGAATGAAATATAATATAATGCACATATTATTTTTTAACACAAATTCTACAAACAAAAAATTATAGCAAATCTTTTTAAATGCAATCTAATCTTATTAATACATTTTTTTCTTCTTTGTATTACATTTTAACAAATATGAAAGATTGAATATGTATAACAATCTATCTTACAAAGGCAAACTTAGATATCAAATTATTAAAAAATTAAATTTCTTTTGAAAAAAACTTTTATTTATTTATTTATTAAAAACAGTACTATTTATATTAAAATTTTTGTTGAACTACATAATTACATGACTTCTTTAACTATACTATTTATTTGAACATAATATTTATAATATAAATTTATAAATTACAAATAATATTTTTTACGTTTCTTTAATTTTAATCAAAATTGTTTAGACACTATGATTAAAAAAATAATATAAAAAATTCATTGCAACATAGGAGACGTGACATTAATTTTTTTTATTATTTATGCATGAAATTAGTTTATTACGCAGGGATTTGTTAATATTATTCTGATTTCACTTATTTTTTTATTATTATTTATGCCCGAAAGTAGCTTACAATGCAGGGATTTGTTAATGTTATTCTGATTTTACTTGTTTTCTTTTTCTCGGGACAATGCATATACTTAATATGCATCACCAACACATCAATTTCATTATAGTAACTTGTGCTATGTTTAACAGATAAAAGTACAGCGTGGGCAAGTCAAACTCCAACGCATCAAAGCCAAGTGGCTAACTCGCCGACGCTTTTAGGAATATAGGGTCTAGTCTAATGTAAATAATTTTAGATTAAGTAAAGATTATGAACCTTAATTTTTCATTTTACACAGAATCATAGCTATTTAATAAAAAAAAAATGAGTTGTTTTAAGGGAGTGTCGAAAACCAAGTAGAAAAAAAAGAAAACCAAAAAAAGTAGAGAGAAAAAAAGGAAAAGAGAGTTAATTGAATGAAAGTCGATCCGTGATATGATTGAATTGGAATCTTGTAATAAGGTTTATGATTCAGAGTTCTACATTCTGAATGGTGAAGATCGAGTTTAAAGCTCTATAGGAACAAATCCAGGATATATATATTGAGTCACTTATTTGATGAAATTTTTTAATTGTTTATCTAATTATTGTTTAGCTCTAATTTTAGCTAGAGAAAAACTTTGTATGCCTATTATTTGATAGTGAAGATTTTTCTGGTGGTTCGTGATTTTTTTCCTCTACACTGGAGGGTTTTTCACTTAAATCTTAGTGTGCTTTATTTTTTTTTTATTTTTTTGATTATTGATTATTGTCTATTGCTTCTATATTGTTGTGATTATTGCTTCAGACGCAACAAGTGGTATCAGAGCGATAGTTATTTTGAAACATCGATACAGAAGCAACCCAGGATAAAAGTAAATTCTGTTTGAGATCATGAAGGGTGATACAGGTTCCATGATAAAATTAACAGCATCGATTATTCAATTTGAAAGCCTATGATGAAAGATTATCTATATTGCAAAGATTTGTATGAGCCAGTATTGGGTGATTCGGTTAAACTAGCAGATATGAAAGTAAGAAGCTAAATAAAAAGATGCTGACTACAATAAAAAAATATGTTGATATCAGCGTGTTCCATCATGTAGCGCAGGAGTCAGATGCTCACATTATTTGAGAAAAATTAACAGCATTTATGAGAGAAAAATAGGTATGAATAAAGTTATGCTTGTTAAAAAGCTTGTAACTTTACAGTATAAAGATGACGATCTGTTACAGAGCACTTGAAGTGATTTTCAAGATATATTTAATCAGATGACTACTATGGAGCTTAAGATGGATGATGAAATGAAGGCGTTATTTTTTTTGGGTTCATTACCAGACAGTTGGAATACTCTAGTTGTGACTGTTCTTAATTCAGTTCTTAATTATAAGGTGACATTGGAGATGGTAAATGATAGTATGCTTAATGAAGAAGTAAGGTGAAAAGATGTAAACCCTGAGAATCAAGCTCTAGTCATAGAGAATAGGGGTAGAAACATCGACAGAGGTCAGGACTCAAAAAGTCGTGATAAGTCTAAACATAGATCCAAGTCTAAAGGTAAAGTGAAGTGTTTCTATTATGATAAGATAGGTCATATAAAATGAAACTGTAAAATCTTGAAGTAAGAGCGAAAAGATGAGAAACGTAAGAGTTCAGATGATAGCAATGTTGCAACAGTGAATTCGGATAGTGATTTAGTTACTTTGATTTGTACACATGGTGATTATAATCATGTTAGTGATCCCGACATTGAGTGGATAATTGACACAAGAGCGGCATATCATTGTATTCCTAAGAGAAAGTTGTTTACAACTTACAAAGCAGGGAGATTTTGATTGTACCAATATGAGAAATAAGAGTGTGTCACTGATTGTTGGGATTGGTGATATTATTGTACAAACTAGTATAGGTTGCATGTTGACTTTGAGGGATGTCAGACACATTTCAGATATGAGAATGAACTTACTTGCTATTAATGTCCTTGATAATGAGGGATATGAAGGTCGACAAAAGAATGGATAGTGAAAGCTTTTCAAAGGATCTATGGTAGTTGCAAGGGGAAACTATGTGGCATAATGTATAAGATATGGATACAATTAAATGGTAACCAGGTAAATACTGTTAAAAATGATGCTTCAGCAAACTTGTGACACAAAAGACTGGTAGACATGAGTGAAAAGAGGTTACAAGTTTTGGCAAGGCAGTCTCTTATTCCCTTGACCAAATGTATGTCTCTTGATTCATGTGATTATTATTTGTTTAGTAAGCTTCATAGAGTTTTTTTTCGTAAAAGTTCTCAGAGAAAAGAAAATAAATTGGAATCAATTTATTTTAACGTATATGGTCCCATTGAGGTTGAGTCATTAGGTGGTAGCAAATATTTTATTACTTTTATTGATGATACTTCACATAAGACTTGGGTGTATATATTGAAATATAAAAGTCAAGTACTGTAATATTTTTAAAAATTTCATGTCATGGTTGAAAGGATGACAGGGTTACCCTTGAAGTGTATTCGAATTGATAATGGTGGGGAATACACATCTAAAAACTTTAAAGAGTATTGTTCAAAGCATGGGATTAAGCATGAGATGACAAAACCTGAAACACCGTAGCATAATGGTATAGCTGAAAGAATGAATCACACCATTGTGAAAAAAGTCAGATGTATGTTGAGGATGGTAAAATTACCAAAGCCATTTTGAGGTGAAGCAGTCAACATAGCTTGTTACTTACTTAACAGGTTACCATCAGTTCCTTTAGGCTTTGACATTCCAGAAAGAGTGTGGACTTTATACTCTCACTTGAAAGTTTTTGGGTATAAAGCATTCATACATGTGTCGAACGGGCAGAGATCAAAGCTTGACAGTAAAGCCACTCAGTGTGTGTTTGTAAGATATGATGATGAAGAATTTAGTTACAGGGTATGGGATCTAGTAAAGAAAAAGATAGTCAGAAGCAGAGATGTGGTCTTTCATGAAAAAGAAACCATAGCAGACCTTGAAAAAAATAAGAAGACTACACGAGTTACTATTGAGTGTGATGTTTCAACACCGATAGAGATTCTACAGGAAAGAGCCACAGATGGTGAAAATGAGTAAAAAATAGAACTTGAGGATATGAATGAGCCAACCACAGTTGGCAATGAGCCACATGCAATTAGTTTTGAGCAGGGGAAGCAATCTTTTCTATATGAAAGTGTTAACAAGAAGAGCTACCTTTGATATCAAGTGATGTAGAGTCTCAGCCTAGGAGATCTATTAGAGAGCGTAGGCCATCTACTAGGTATCCAAGTTCAGATTTTATTTTAGTTACCAATGAATGGGAGCCAGAAAGCTTTCAAGATGTGCATGCTACTT